AGAATGCACAAGTAACATTTATAGTGGATGACCCATTGAAGAAGCGGATTGGTTCTTTGCTGGACAAGTTCGCCGATCATGCCTTGTTTGCAAACAAATACTATAGTGGTTCTGTTTACGCCCTTCTCTCGGAAAATCCATTTCATTTCGAATGCGCGAGGTCTTTGGACATCTTCTAGCTCCTCGACGCAACGACCTATCAGGGCATAATGTAGGGCTATCGGTAGCATCCCAATAATCTTGATGGTGAAGAGGATGAAGATCAGGTGCCCAACTGGATTCAAGTGCAAGGATGATATATACTGGATCAATTAAATTCCAAGAACTAACATGAAAATGCGAGCATGCGGCCATAACATGAGAACAAGGCATTTTATAAATTGTAAATTTTTCACAACTGCATGTCCGGTCATCAATATAAATAACATGTGTATTACCGTTATTACTGACCCCCTCCGCAATTTTTCATCGCATGTGAAATGGTGTAATTGTACACATTCTTGCTTTTACCTGGTTGGGTCGTATAAATTCGATTGCTTCAGGTGAGTACTCCAAACCATCCTCTATGCACCGTTGTGCATGTTCACGGCGTTCACAAAAGTATTTTGCGAGCCGATAAAATATGAATTTAACACATGCAGTGATGGAAAACATCCTAGCACCTTTCAATGCACCATTGAACACCTCAGAAACATTAGTTGTGGTTGTTCCGTATCGCCAACCACCATCATAGGCAAGTGTCCACCGTTGTGCTGGAATATCAATTAACCACTTCCATGCTTCAGGATTTATACTTTTAATTTCTTCCATTATCAAATTAAACTTGCGAATCTGATGTGCTGTCCAAGCCTTCCACACTTGATCTTTCTAATATGTGTTATTGTAACGTGTGTTGAAATTGCTTTGTACATGTCGTAGACAGAAATGATGATAGACGTATGACTCATTCCACCTAGAACCTTGTTTCTTAACCGTTAAAATTATACCTTTATGTCGATCTGAGATTAAGCATATACCAGCTCTATTCGGCACAATAGAGTGGCGTAGATGATATGGGAACCAATCCCAGCTTTCACTAGTCTCCTTATGAACAAAGACAAATTCTAGAGAGAAAATCTGCTTCTGAGCGTCAATCCCAGTAGCAATAAGAAGCTTATGCTTGTACTTGCCATTTATAAATGTGCCATCGATGCTAATTAAAGGCCGACAATGAACAAACCCATCAATAGAAGCTTTGACTTCCCAGAACACCTTTCCAAATATATCGAATTCGGGAGCACGAGCCTCATATTGCCACTTTACAATCGTCCCAGGGTTGTATTTCACAAGAGCACCCATAAACCTCGACAACATGTTGTAAGAACAATCCCAATCACCGAAAACCTTGGCTATAGCCTTATTCTTCACATTCCACGCCTTCTTGTACGTTATCAAATAATGATACTCTTTTTTCACCATTTCAATTATGACAGACATTGTTACATCAGGTGTAGCCCGAATCACACCCTCAATCCATTGAGAAATAAAACCTGCATTAAGTTGACAGTGGTCTTGGTTTAACCTTGGGTAGAAACAAGTGTGAGGTACCTGATATTTTGTGATCTCAAACATTCCATGATTCGCCTTTAACACCGCCCGTAGCCTCCATTTGCATCCACATTGTGCATACATCTTGCACCTCAACACCCAACACGTTTTATTTGTATCAACAACAACATATTGTTGGTGCATCTTAATTGAATATAATTTAACTGTCATCTCCAGGTCTTTTTTACTCCTGAACATCATACCCTTAGCCAATTATGGTCTTGTAGGATCCCATGTTTTAATTCAATGCAAAATGCATAAACTGTCAACTTCATTCTGGGTTCCCGATTCAACATTTGAGAAAAATGTTGACTTTGGCTCATGCATAGGAACCTCACCATCATCCTCAGCAGAATTACCTTCAGCATCATAATCATCATCATCAGAGTCATCACTCAATACATTTTCTGGCAACTCTTCTTCTTCGTAGTAATCATTCTGGTCATTAGCACACTTTCCTTCATATATATTATTAGCAATCTGATGTAGTACAAGTGCTTGGACAGGGTCCACTGGCGCTGGTGTTGGGGTAATTGTCATCATTTCCATCCCCTCGTTCTCCAGTCCAACACTATACTCTTGCTGAGATGAGCTTTCGGGAAAAGTACTAGGCCCTGTTTCAGCTTGTGCATATGTATATCGATTGTATTCTTCCATACACTGCATTGTTAAAGAGGTGTAATAATTACCCACCATCGCTGAAGGGTCGAGCACTGGGATATATGGTTGTTGGCTGAGCATGGAAGTGTATGAACCAACATCAGACCAACCTTCATTACTTCTACCAATTTCATCTGCCCTAACTTCTTCGCTAACATACAAATTAACTTTGTTAACACCTTGATTGTCAAATACAACATCCACCATTGCCTCCACACCATCGTTGTTAGCAACTTCTACTGGAATAAATGTAAACAAGTTAGTTCCCAATGCAGTAGAAAACCTACAGATAAGTTTGAGGTTGTATTTATTCCTATATATTCCCGTCACATCATGCAACCTATCCACCAATGCCGAGTATGTTGTGTCATGTGAAACCTTTATCACACGCTTATAACCATTATCGTATGGTAACATATCATGGTTCGTGAATATGCTATCACCCCAATAAATCATCACAGAAGCACGTCTTCCAGCCATTCTTAACAATTCTACAATAAATACATCAAAAGTTAGTGTGTATAAACAACCAAAACTTTTGCTTTCATCGAAACTTTTGCTTGTTCATGTTTTGAAATGTAAATAAACCAGGTAGTCCGTTCTAATTTTCAATCACCCAATATTAATGAAGGAGCACATTAAGTACATAAAATGGTTAGCACTTACATCAGGAAAGTAATCTATTAAAACTGCTAAAATATTTTGAAAATTTTACAAAATGAACTCGCCAATTCTAATAGAAACTTTTGTGTCCCTCCTAAATTAAGTTCGATATGCTTCAGTCAATTAATACCTTAATTATTAGGACTCCAACACTGTGCAAAATAGACTACACTCATTCATTCAATCGTGACTGGTTTGGGGGGGAAGAGATGGAAAAGTATAGAAAAAAAATGAAAAAGTATAGAAAAAAAAATTGATATTAGAGCACAAGAGTGACTAATTTTTACAGAAAATGCAAAAAAATTGAATTTGAGACCTTTGAATTACCAAAAGTCAAAATAAATACATTGAATAACTCCTAAAAATTTTCCCATATGGGATTATACATTGCAATATTGTATACAAGTTAAACTAAATACCAAAGAGAGAGAGAGAGAGAGAGTAATTTGTTTGAAATAAATCATTAAGAACTGACTTAAACAAAATCTAGACTCACAATGGTATTATTGATTTTATTTTTTCTTACGGGCCTACCGCACTTGGAATGACGATTTCAAAGATAATTTTTCTGTGCGATTGTATTTTGATTTCCTTGTTGAACATAAACACAATCACACCCTTGACTTATCACTTCTCTAAAAAATTTCTTCTATTAATAAAAAAAAAAATTATAAAAATGATATTGTCACTGACATTGTATAACTATCCCACAACAACTTTGACATCATGTCTATGACATTTCACACGTACAAAATAATGGCCTTATCGAAAAATCATGATTCAACCCCTAACTGATGAAAATGAGTGATAAATTACCCGACGAACTCTTTACTTCAGTAATTGATCTAGGTTTAAAAATTTCAACTAATACAAAGAGCATGAGTTGGAGTAAGTAGGCCAAATATTTACGCGTCAATGCGGATTAAATGATCCCAAAAGAGTACAAATTACTTTGGTACTTATTTCTCAACAAGTATGAAGTCCACAAAAATAGGTGGGATTTAAAGCAACATCCTGCAGAACGAACATGGACCAACATGCAGTCCCTAAAAATAGTGAGACATCAGTGCAGCATCCAAAAGAAAATTTCATCACAATAAATTTATCACAAAAACTAAAAGTAGTGGATGACTATGTTTATTCTTATTCAACTGCTGGTGCTGGGTCTTTCTCTATTGCTTTCTCCTTTCCTTTAAATATTATTTAGATGGAACGAAGTCTGATATATTGTGATTTCCATGTACATGGTATGTAGAATTCCTGTCATTACGAATGTGACAGTTCAAATGCAAACCAATTAATTACTTATTGTTTTCAATTTTACATATTTTATCTTGAGAAGAAATGGCATCCTAAATTCAAAGCTTAGGCATGCCATTTTTAGATTGTCCAATTCACCAGAGAAAAAAAGTCCATCTTCTAGGATTCTAGAACACCACCTCACCTGATGATTCTACAATTATGTTTGAACAATTTTCTAAGTGACGTAATCTCTTTTAAATGACTTCCTACTTGGGATACATAAGCATAAAAAAAAATCTTCCTCTTATGTTATTTATCATGGAAATAACTTACCTTTGTTATTACTCCAATGATATGACGAAACTCATGTCAATACGAAATCTTATATTTTCAAATTATTCAACATGGAACCCACCAATCTATCTCATTTTCTTGCATAATTTTGCATCTAATGCTAAATTCAATTATGCAAAATTAAAAATTGGGTATTAAACCAACAAGTTTATACCAAATTTAAACCAATTCAACCAGCAATATGCCATGAGCCAAAATATCTTATTTTCCATGAACAAGTTTATACCAAATTCAACCAGCAATGTGCCATGAACAAGTTTATACCAAATTTAACCAACAATATGCCATGAGCAAGCTTATACCAAATTTGGCTTCTCTCTATGTCTATTAACTAAAATGCTGATGATGAGAAACCCAAAATAAATTACATTTTGCTTAAAAGGAGCTACAATTTGTTGACTAGGTCTAAATGTCATGGTTGATTAGGGTATATTGTGCATAAACAATAAACAAATTATAAGTTCCAAAAGATGAGAGTGATCGTGTGTATATATATGGAGTGTTCCTCTTCTTCAGACGGGTTGGTGGAATAAGGAGGGCCGGAGTGTTCCAAGCTGGATTTGTCAGAGTGTTCCTCGTTGGACTGGTCTTCGACGGGTTGGAAGAAGGTGGCCTTCAACTGGACTATTCCTCCTCATGGATGGCTATTTTCGACTGGATGGTGGAAGAAGGAGGTCTTCGATCGGATGTGCGGGTTTCAACTGGATGGCTATCTGAGCAAGAGAGAGGAGGGGATCTTATACACCAATGTGATACACGACTGTGAGAGAGATGGGTTTTAAAAAATCAGTAAAATAAAATACGTCATTACAATTGACGTTTTATACCTCTTTTTTGTTTTAACGACTATTAACTCCTGTTAATTTGATTCATCTCAAAACACGTCATTTTCAATGACGTTTTTAATAAAAAATTTCATCTCCCAGTTGTCATTGCAAATGACGATTTAACATACGAAGGCGTCATTCCAAATGACGTTTTCAAAAAAAGACTGAGTTTGAGAATTATGTTTAAAACTGACTGGGTTATGAAAATAAGATTTTAGGGAAACTGGGTATGGGGAACACCTCTTTTGCTAAACCAAAAAAACCACTTTGAGTGCTGCACCCTACCACCACTGCCACCGCCACTGCCACCGCCACTACCACCACCACCGCCACCACCACCGTCGTCGCCACCATCACAACTACTCCCACTGTCGTCGCCGCTGTCGCTGCCGCCACCACTCCCACCCCCACCACCACCACCACCACCATCACCGTTGCTTTCGCCCCCCCCACCACCACCCCCACCACTGTCATTGTCATCCACCACAACCATCTCTGTTTCCTACCACTACCACTGTCACCCACCATCTTTCACTCCCACTACAAACCGATATTTAAATTCTTTTATCTTTTCTTTATGTTTGTGATTTGATTTTGGATATAAATACAAATGTGTTTATTGTTTATCATTTCTTATTACTCTGATCCTTTAAGCACAGACAATAACTAGTACCTTTATAATATATGTTTATGGTATAAAAAATATACAATAAGTATACGATTAGTATATATTTTTAAAATTAATATAGAATTAAATTTATTTATCAAACCAAATATTAAACCCAATTAAAAAATTTTAATTTATTTTTGACTCCTTAATACATCCATTAATAATATAATCGAACGTCCTCTTATAAGTTTATAAGCTGATGACAACACGTGACACCATCACTATTACACCAAACATTTTCTCACTTCCTTCCTTTTGTCCCAGATCCTACACACGTGTGACGTCACTATCGCTTACTGCTGTTCCTTTGCTTTACCCAAAATACCCTTTTACTCTTCTTGGTATTGCACTATTACCGGAACGCCGGTTAACCCCATTCCAAATGTGGAAGAATTTAAGGCTTGGATTCAAATCTTTTTTAATCTTTTTTAATCTTTTTTAATTTTATTTTAGTAAATCTTTCGTTATTAATGATTACGAGACTCGTTTGTACATAATATATTAAGAACACAATTTTACTTTTTTTTTGTTATAAAATATTCAAGTTTGCGCCGACTACTCTTTCGAACTATGAGTTAACCATCATAACTTAAACTAGTTTTAAAGACATGTCTCTTGAAATGGTTGACCATTAAACCATTCTAAAAGGTTACAAAATTTTAATACTTATTGGAACAAAAAATAGTATTAGTTTATATATATAGAGTTTCAAAGTCACAATTTCATTTTTTTATTTTTAATTTTCTAAAAATTAAAAGATGATATGTCATGAAATAATTTTTTATTTTAAAGTATGGAAGGTAATGACATAATAATTAAAAAGTTAATGACAACACATCACAACAAGTAAGGAAAATTGTGTTTATATAAAGAGAATTTTGACAATTGACACCTATAGATGTTCTATTTGAAGTTTAGACTTTGCCTAATTATACCAACCCTAGTCTATTCCAATTGGTCAGGGATTATATATTTCTTATAAAGATAATTTTAAGACAACCCTAACAATGACTTTTTTAGTTATTGTCACACATACCTTATATTAAATAACTAGTTATTATTTGTGTCTGAAGGCACATAATAATAAAAAAATGGTCACTAAATATATTTGTATATACATCCAAAATTAAATCAAAAATATAGATGAGAAAGAAAAGAATTTAAGCACCGATTATCGTAAGGTGAACGGTGGTAGTGGTGATGAGCGACAGTGGTGGCGGTGGAGAGGCAGTGATGGTCATGAAAAGTGGCGACGACTGTCGTGATGGTGGCAGTCATGAGTGACAACGGTGATGGTGGTGTAAAATTTTGGTTGACGATGATGGTAGTGGTAGCCATAGATGACAGTGATGGTAATGGTGGTGGCCGGCAGTGGTGGTGATAGAGCGACGACTGTAGTTGTGGCGGGCGGTGACAATGGTGGTGGTGGGCTATGATAGGTGTTTTTGGGATACAGTGTGATGAGTGATGACAAATGGTGGTGGTGGTGGTAAGTGTGGTGGACGATGACGTGTGATGGTGGTTGGTAGTGGTAGGTGTGTTGGGAGTGGGTGACAACGGTTGGCAAAGATGGTGGGCAACGACGGGTGGTGGTGGTAAGGGTGATTATGGAACAATGTGGTAGAGTGACACGACAATTATGGTGGTAGTGGTGGGGTGGCGATGGTGGTGGTGGGGATGGTTGGGGTGGTGGTGGTGTGGGTGGCGGCGGTGGAGACGACGACAAAGATGGTAGTGGTAATAATGGTGATGATGGTGGGGGTGGGAGTGGAGCGATGGAGGTAGTGGGTGGTGGTAGGGTGACGGCAACGGTAATGGTGGTGGGGCGATCGGTATGGTTGTGGTGGTGGGTTGGTGGCAGTGGTAATGGTGGCGACAGTAGTGGGTTGACGATAGTGGTAATGGTGGGGTGGCGACCGGGGGGGGGGGTGATGATAGTGAGACGGTTCCAAATACTATTTTGTTTTTTAAAATACTCATGAGAAATTATAAGATCTAAAAACACTTTTAAAAAGTCACCCCAAATATATCCTTAGGGTCCTGTTTTTCCTATTAAATTTGGGGTGTTAATATTAGCTGTCGGATTAACTTTAAAATAAAATTTAAAAAAATCTTAAGTGCAAAAAATAGAAATCATTTTGTTTATTTTTTGAGATTTGAATTGTATTGTATTTTATTATATAGATGTAAAATCTTTTACAATATTATGTCATTACTAGTCACGCCAACTACAAGCAAACAAATAAGTCCCCAGAAAAATATGCAAGGGCACATTTAAAAGAAATATCATACTAACCTCAAGAAGTAGTTCAAATGGTAACAGGAACAAGGTATAAACTTAGACATTTTGAGTTCAAATTTTGTCAATCTCTTGAAACTTGGTTGTGAGAGATTTATTTCTCATAAATACTCTAATTCCTATGTGAATGACATGTCTTTGATTGAATCAGAAAGAGATTAATTGTGATACGCATAAGTTAACAGAGACACCCCTAACTATTGAACCAAAAAAAAATATCATATTGGTTTTTCGTTTCATGATTATTCACCCATCACCTTATTTGATTTTTCTATCATAATCCTTTCCTTCAAGAAAATATAGCATATGAGCATATCCCATTTGAAAAAACCTTGATAAAATCATATTCTCAATTCCTTTCTAGTTTTATTACAACTTATTTGATTCTGCTTTTTGCTTGCCCTTCAGATCATCAAATTCCTAGCTCTCCACGTTTGATCAATTGAACTCATCTTACCACCTCCACTTTACTAATGGTAATTAGGGATTCACCTCAGTTCAAACAAAGGGATAAAAATCTCTCAACGGTAACATACTACCTGTAGTAAGTAATCCAAACTCTAATATAATATTCAAATTTTTTTTTATCGTTTTATTGACTTAAGTATAAGAGGATTGACCCTTAGGTGGTATTTGATAAAACTGAAAGTTGAACACTAAAAACTGAATGTTGAATTTTAAGTGTTGAATGCTGAATTTTTTAATTCGCAAACTATTTGGTATCAACTGAAATTTAAGTATTGAATTGAATCAAACTATTTGACAAATTTAAAGAGCTGAAGTCTAAAAATTATTATCATTGTAATTTTTCTTTTCTTTTTAACTATCAATCTGTAACTACCTTATTTCTACCACCACCATGGTGACAGTGACGATTACGATTACGGTGGTGGTGATGACGATGACGATGGCAGGATAATGGTGATGGTAGTGATAGCAGTGGTGGTGGTGGTGGCACAATGATAGTGGTAGACGTGATGACACAATGATAGTTTTAGTGGCAGCGACAAAATAATAGTGGTGATGGTGGCAATGACACAATGTTGGTGATGGTAGTAACATAATGGTAGTGATGACGACAACATACTGGCGGCGATAAAGATGACATAATGGTCGTGGCGACGACGGTGATGTTGGCAGTGGTGAGTATTGAAAAATTAAGAGTTAAAATGCATTGTGGGTATATTTGTCCATTATTAAGAATTGATACAATTATTACTGACTAATATATTCAGGATTAATTGATTAATAAGTGGCTTTCTACTTTAAATTTTAGCTGATTTTTAAAAAATGTTTAAAATATTAAATAGTATGAATTTTAAATTATCAATTGAGTTTAATTTATTAAATATTTAAAATATTCAATTTTAAGTTTTAAATTGTATTATCAAACAATCCCTCTAATCTTTTGACTTGCCTTTTTAGGTACTCCCCTGTGATGGTCAGTGGACAACCTCAGCCATCACCTTCCTCTGGCGATCAGAAGTCAATATATGACATCCCCACAAAACAACTCTTTATTTGATTCGACTCCTCTCCAATTACGAAATAAATTGAAATAGACACAGTTTTAATTAGAGACAAACTACAACATTTCTATTTAAAAGTAGAAATACCATAGTTGTCATATAATCCACCCACATACCCTAAGGTTATGCAATGTAGAATAATCCCAATCCATCATCCACCTAGGCCCAAAGGCCTTCTTCCCGTACTATGAAACAGGACTGGAGTGAGATGCAACTGAGCCCACATGAGACCGCCTGAAAAGTACCCATGTTGTTTTAATTAGAGACAAACTACAACATTTTTATTTAAAAGTATAAATATCATAGTTGTCATATAATCCACTCACATACCCTAAGGTTATGCAATGTGGGATAACCCCAGTCCATCATCCACCTAGGCCCAAAGGCCTTCCCGTACTATGAAACGGGACTGGAGTGGGATGCAACTGAGCCCACATGGGA